TTTAATCTCCTGAAATTCTTCATGTTTTCTTTGTAAACTCCCAAAGTTCTCCCATTTCTTTGCAAACTCCCGAAGTTCCCCATGTTCTTTGCCCACTTCCCTGAAAATCTCTGTGGTGTTCTTTTCCCCCCCCCCAGATAAACTCTTCTACATTTACACTTCCGGAACAACCGGCTTGCCCAAGGCAGCCATCATCGTCCACAGCAGGTCAGTGAAAAGAAAAGAGGGATTTCTCCCATGGTTCAGGCCTCCCCGTTTCCTCAAGAGCCCCCTCAAGACAGGCTGGCCCCCACCCAAACTGATTCGGAGCTCTCCTTTCTCGGAGCAGGTATTTCCGGATGGCGACTCTGGTCCACGGCGGCTTCCGCATGACGCCCGACGACGTGGTTTATGACACCCTCCCTCTCTACCACGCGGCAGGTAAATCCCCTCCCTTCCTGAAATAGCCCTCCACAAGTAAGGCATCATCATAATAATTTTTTAAAAAGTGGTGTGTGTGTGTGTGTGTGTGTGTGTGTGTCAGATTTTGGCCTGATAGCCAGTTTGTCTCTTGCAAAGTTTCTCCATCCCTCCGTTGGGCCTTCTAAGCCGGAGGGGTGGAGGGTCGGGCTGGCCTTGAATTGGGCTGAAAAGGTGAAAGAGCAAATCAACTGGCTGCCACTAAAGCGTGAGGAAGCTGCCCCTTGAGTAGCTAGGTTTCTCCTTGCAGGGAGAGATGATTGGTCGGAAGGGAAGGGAAGGGTAGGTTGCTCAGATCTTTGGTCGGAAGCATTGCAATACAAAATCGATCCAAGGATCAATCTACCGTGTCTGTCTGTCTGTCTGTCTGTCTACCTATCTATCGTCCATCTCATCTTTCCCTCTGTCCATCTTCTTCCCTTCTTTCTCCCCTTCCTTTCCTTCCTTCCCTCCCTCCCTTTTCTTCCTTCCTTCTTCTCCCTCCTTTCCTCCCTTCCTCTCCTCTCCCCTTCCTTTCCTCTCCTCCCTCCCTCCCTCTCCTCCCTCTTCTCCCTCCCTCTCTCCCTTCCTTCCATCATCCATCCATCCTTTTCTTCCTTCCTTCCTTCCTTTCCTCCCTCTTCTCCCTCCCTCTCACTCTCCCTCCCTTCCTTCCATCATCCACCCATCCTTTCCTTCCTTCCTTCCTTCCTTCCTTCCTTCCTTCCTTCC